CACTGCTTTCCTCTTCGTCTGCTTGAGTTGTGCAATTCTGCAACGCGTCACTAAGAAATCATGTAGCTCAGCAAGGTTAATTTACAGGCTGAAATAATCCAAATGTAGCTTTATCTTCTGGGTCTCTTCAATAAATATGAAATCATATCAAACTCAAAATGTTGTGTCAGATATAACAATGTTTATTGTCTTTACATGGTTCTTTGGTTTAACATTATAAAGTATTCAGGATATCAAATCAGCAAAAATCATGATCTTTATCGCATATTACTTCAAAATGAAATTCACTGATGTCCATGTTCAGATTGAAATAAAGGCATCTTGCTTGAACTAAACGATTGTCTCATCTTGATTGCATATAATTGTTATGCTTACCGATTTTTCAAGAATACATTTCAAAATAGATCATAAAAGTGAACTTCAGTATGAACACAAACAGTACTTTGAAGATAACATGCAGAGATCCCTAGACATGTGCTGCCATTGCTACTGTAGCAAGTTACAGATGTTCATTTGAGGAAGTGAAAAAGGTTTGAACATGGGGGAAGGAAAGTAGAAACTTTGACTCATGTTTGAAAAGTATGGTCACACCCTGAGCTTTGAATTTTACTCTTAGTTTTTCTTAATATGGTTTTCTCTCCACCACATTACAAGGCCATGTTGGACGTGGATCTACTTGTTTCACTCTCAGTTGCTAGCTGAACAGACATGCTTGGTCATGAGCATGCAGATGTTTTGCCCACAGCCCCAACACGGTTGCTTGTTGTGTGGAGAGCCCTGCTGGGTCTTTCTCTTACAAAGTGAACACGCATCCGGAGCACCATCATCTCCTGCGCTGGGATTTGTTAGACTATCAGCCACTAGCTTCTGAAGCTCTGCCAGCACGGTGTTTGGAGCCTTTGCGATGCCTACCACCTTCACTCTTTGGGGGTCGAACACACAGTCCTCCTCTAGGCCACTGGGCACTGCTTTCATGCCACAGTTCGGAGGCACCCAAGCGGTATCGTAGCCCTGCGTGTTCCAGGTGTACTGCATGGGATGGTTATCTGTGTCAATGCGCTTGACACGACCCAAACGCGCACGTAACTCAAGGACCACTTTGTCTGAAGAGTTGTTATGTAAAGGATAACGTTCCGCCTTTTTCTGATCTCGACTGACATACACGCCCTTGCCCAACATGCCAACTGATGACTGCTGAAAGCCATTGGTAATGATGAGCCGAGCGATGGCGACGCTGGTGCCATGGTACATTTTGTAGATGCCTTTGTCTTTGGGCTGCTGAGAAGCCCCCAGCTCCAAACGAGGAGATGTATCATCGTAGGCCACCTCCCAGCCAAAGAATGGCAGCGACATCTTTATTTAACAAGGGATGCTCTTCAAGACCAAAAGCTCTGTGAGAATAAAAGCAAAAATGGCATGTTGTCACACTTATGACAGATTTGGTGTGACTTTTCAAGACCTATGTTTTAAAATGTATTTGATATAGCTTAGATTCCTACGTTTCCACATTCAAAGGCTTTAATGTCATATGCACAATAGCTCAAGTGTACTTTTGGCAATTACTGTCTCAGGCCCCTCCAGCAATGCAACTAATAAATAAACTTAAGATTATGGTCTTCCATTATTGTTAATATCAGCTGCTAAACGTTGTTCGTGTAGGTTATTGATACCACATCGTCTCATAATTAGATGAGCATGTTTCGGTACTTCAAGTTAAAATCCCAGAAAAATTAAACATTTTTCAGTGACCATATCTAGATGTACAACAATAGGGTGCCGTTTTAGCTAGTTACGAGTTAGCCTTTAAAGGTATGTAGGCTATATGCTAATAGTAAGATGTTCTGTTGCGTTACAAAGTAGTAAACGACGGACTTTAACTGACATGCTGCTTGTTCTATTGAACTAATGAGCTATAATTCCTTTAAGGTGTATGAATTAACGTTTAAAAGTAAGGGAACAGCAAACCTTATCGTGGGTGAGTAGTCTTTAACCTGAATGAGATTTCACTTTCCGTTGTCTTTTCTTAGCGTTTCTACTTTCGATATGTAATGAATCTGAGTGTCATATCATGCTGGGAATATATTCGTTAGTATGAGGCAGTGTGTTCGTGACCGGTTAGCTCAGTTGGTTAGAGCGTCGTGCTAATAACGCGAAGGTCGCGGGTTCGATACCCGTACTGGTCATCAGAATTTTTTATGATGTCTTGTCTCACAAAGCAATAAAAAGATCGCAGATAATGCAAAAAATCATGTGCACAACTCAATAATACAATATCAGCTGACATGGAAAGGAACTTCACTAACTGCTGCTTTAATTCCAGAGCTTGAGACCCCTGAGCTTTTTATATATGTATGGTTAGCTCTAAGAATTAGGCATTACATTACATTACATTGCATTTAGCTGACGCTTTTATCCAAAGCGACTTACAATAAGTACATTCGACCAGGAAGACACAACCTTGAAGAAAACAGAATCATATAAGTACATCAGGTTTCATAGAGCCAAACATTTCAAGTGCTACTCAACTGGCTTTAGGTAAGCCAGTCCTTTATTAGTATAAAAGTGCTTTGTTAATAGTTCTATCGCTCGAAGTGGAGTCGAAAGAGATGAGTTTTCAGTTTGCTTCGGAAGGTGTGTAAGCTATCTGCCGTCCTGATGTCAATGGGGAGCTCATTCCACCATCTTGGAGCCAGGACATCAAACCCACGTGTTTTCGCCGATGGGAACTTGGGTCCCCCTCGCAGCGAGGGCGCAACGAGTCGTTTGGCTGATGCAGAGCGTAGTGCACGCGCTGGGGTGTACGGTTTAACCATGTCCTGGATGTAGGAAGGGTCAGATCCATTCGCAGCATGGTACGCAAGTACCAGTGTCTTGAAGTGGATTCTAGCAGTTACCGGAAGCCAGTGGAGCGAGCGTAGGAGCGGAGTGGTGTGGGAGAATTTAGGAAGGTTGAAGACCAGACGAGCCGCTGCATTCTGGATGAGCTGCAGAGGTCGGATGGCACATGCAGGTAGACCAGCCAGGAGGGAGTTGCAGTAGTCTAGGCGTGAGATGACGAGAGCCTGGACCAGAACCTGAGTCGCTTTCTGGGTCAGCTGGGGACGTATCCTCCTGATGTTGTAAAGCAGGGGTGCCCACACTTTTTGGGCTGGTGAGCTACTTTTGAAATGACCAGCTCACCGAGGTCTACCAACCAAAAATAAAATCCCAAATTGCAAGGGTTGCTGAATAACACGTTTTATTTATACATGGGATAACTACAATAGGGCTGCAACAAACGACTAATTTGATAATCGATTAATCTATCTATTAATGAAACGACTAATCGACTAATCAGACTATTACTGTATGCCTTGCACAATTTCTCAAACCCTCTTGTTTAGCCATCAACTTTTAGATTTAGCTTGAGGTTGTTTTAGGCACGTGGAAACTAACAATGAAGACAATAAAGATTAATACTTGATTCAAAAATACATATATTATTAAATTAACAAATTGTGAACAAAACTAACATTGCTTTTTATTTAAATAAAATAAATAATATTTCACATCAAAAGAAACAACAATGTTTTAACAAATCGTATTCAATAATGTGATGACAGAACTGTGAACAGAATAGCTGAAACTTTAACAAAATAAAGAGTAAATCTGTTACCTCTATCATTAACCCATGTTTGAATCATTGAGTTAACTGCGTGTGTTGCTGCTAGCATACATAACACCTGACGTGGAAACGTTACTCGTGGATGGGGCTACAGAGCTGCTAGAAAGACAGTCGAACCCGGTGCATTCCTCCGTCTGAATGTGGAGCACTTTTGATAAATGTTTTGACACATTGCTCGTGTTACCGCCCTCACATGCTGAACTCTCTTGGCAACGAGCATTGTCCACCTCAAGACGGGTAACATGTAACCACACCTTGGAGCGCTTCTCTCCGCCATCTCCTCCGTGTGTTGCTGCATGTAGCAGCCGCGTGTGTAACTGCCCCGCCCCCTCGCGCACAGACGGGGGAGAGAGATCTCGTCTCGATTGGAAAGATCGAAAATACACCGACATTTGTTTGTCTTTTTGCATATTAGAAACGAGTTGGCGACACTAAGACTGCGAGATAATGTTTTTGTAGCAATAATAATACATGACCTTTCTCTTTCTAAACTCGCTACTCGTAGGGAAGTCGCTGTCATATGCCTTGTGAACACTCCGATAATGCCTCTCCACGTTACCTTTCTTTGGCAGAGCGACGCTTGCTTTACAAATAAGGCAAATAACCTTTGAATGTGACATCACAAAACAATATTCTTCCTCCCATTCTGGGTGGAAGTGGTTTGTCTTTAGCTTCTTGCTCGGTCCCGCACTCATTTTGTTTTTTGTCTCTTGTTTGTCTCTTTAACTTAATTTGAGTTTTCCCGGCACTTGACTGATTTTGTATCGCTTTGCATTCTGGGTTAACAGACTGGAAAGCGATAGGTCGCTTTTTCTGTCAATCAAGTAAACTCCTGAATTAAGTGGCAGGGAGGCCAAGGGAGGAGGGATCAAAACCTGTTTTGTCTATTTTAACGGAACAGGATTTTTTTTAATTTATGAATGACTCGCGATCTACCAGCATTGCCCCCGCGGTCGACGTACTGGGCACCTCTGTTGTAAAGCGTGTATCTGCAGCAACGGGTTGTAGCAGCGATGTTTGCAGTGAAGGACAGGTTGTTATCTAGGGTCACACCCAGATTCCTTGCAATATCTCAGAGGATATTGTGATTACTAGTGCAGTTCAGAGGGTTAGTTTGTTTAAATCATATTACCACATCAGATAGTTTTAAAGCAGTGACATACTGTAAATGTGGAGACAAGGGGAGGACATATTGTGTGCCTATGCCTAGAAGCTTATCTACGAGCAAGGCAACGTTTATTTTCCTACTTCCTTATCTTCACTTAGACTTCAGACTGCAGCTGGGATACTCGATCTCTCCTTTGAGCACAAAATAAAATAAAATATTTGTAGCCACTTTGTGACTCTCCTATTTATTTGCAGGTCCTATTGGGATTTGTTAAAAAAGGTGTTTCAAATGCCACTTAATATTCTTCACACGACACAACATACTGATAAAAAGTAGGAAATGGTAAAGCTGCGGCTTTATCTGAAGGCATCACTATAGAAATGAGCTTTACTGAGTCTCTTAACAACATGGAATCATATAAAACGAAAAGACATGATGCGTTTGATTAGATTACAATGACATTTATTGGCTTGAGTTTTCGCAAATTAGTTCAGTCCCATGTTTTACATATCCCAAAAAAATGAATGTCAAATGTCGGAGAGAAAAAATCTTTTTGCCTTGTCATGTGTTATGTGTCCTTTGCACAAATTGCATACTATTAAGAGAGCGTAATATATAATATGTAGAACTATAAAAAGAAAAAGCTACAGTTTACTTTAAATGACAGTCAATTCAGGATTGAGATGTTATAGGTAACTTACAAAAGATCCCCAAAACACATTGAGAAGTACATATTTAAACATGCCACTATAATTCAATATGAGAGTCAAATCTAATCATCAATCCCCCTTCCCTCACCCCGTCAGGGTTTGGCTGGACAAAGATGCTTGGACATGAGAATGCAGATGTCTTTCCCACACGCCCAGCACTTCTGCTTGATGTGTGGAGAGCCCTGCTGGGTCTTTCTCTTACACAGTGAACACACCTCTGCAGCACCAGCACCCGCTTTTCCAGATGATTTTATCAGCCCTTTAAATTCTTTCAGTATGGAATCATTTGGTGCCTTTGCGATGCCTACCAGTTTCACTCTTTTGGGATCAAACACACAGTCCTCCTCCAGGCCACTGCGCACTGCTAAGAGGCCAATATTAGGGGGCACCCAAGCAGTGTCGTAGCCATGTGAGTGCCATGTTTTCTGCATGGGATGGCTGTCCTTGTCAATGCGCTTGACACGGCCCACGCGCACATGTAACTGAAAGACAACACGGTCTGTAGGACTACATCCCAAAGGATAAGCCGATGCCTTCTTTATATCACGACTGACATACACGCCCATTCCCAGCATGCCATCTGAAGACTGTTTAAAACCATTGGCAATGATGACTCGTGCGCTGGTGATGCTGGTCCCGTGGTACATGGAGTAGACGCCCCTGCTTCGGGGTTTCTGGGACGAGTTCAGCTCCAAACCAGGAAAAGAAGCACCATCATCAATCACCTCCCAGCCGGAGAACTGCACTGACATCCTGATTCAGATATGTGGAAAGATCCCGTAAAGATCGGAAGCTCTGTAAGAAATTCAAAGGGAGATGTGGCATTATGTTAGAATTAAGATCAATCAGGGTGTTAATTTAAAGGGGACCTATCATGCAAAATGCACTTTTTGATATCTTTCATACACATGTGTCCCCGGTGTGTCAGGGAACTCACGCAGCGTCAGAAAATAAAACCCTCTCTCTTTTCCTCCGTACCCAAATCTCTAAAAACGGGGGTACAACGGAGCTGATCCAGATTTGCGTATGATATGACGTAATATTGGCGGCGGACCCACAGCACTATCAGAAACATTGCTATCAGAAACAATGCCCGACTGTTTTGGATGTAATATGGTCGGTGTTTACATTAGCATCGCTAACACTCAGAGCTAACCTGAGAGAGCATGTGTGTGAAGAAGCAGGGAATAAAAGGGAACTCACCTTGTGGTATAACCGGCAAGAGAGATAGGCTTTGAGCTCCATACTGTTTCAGAGATAATCCTTGATCTAATAATCCTTGCGTTTCATCACCGCAGCCTTTTTAGACAGTATCTGCCAGGTCCTGCATGAGCCGGCATAAACTCCGCCCCCTCTTATTTTTAATTTGTTTCAGTTTAAAATAAAAAGAAGCATTATTTAAAAAAAAAAATGTTAGCCTTTATTTATACAGGTGAAAATCTCATTGAGACACAGGGTCTCATTCTCAAGAGAGACCTGTTTATATCCAGAATCAGCACTTTTGGAACAGGAAGTGAAATAGAGGGATATGAGGCATGGCTAGAAGTGATCTGTTAGTTTTTTTGAACAAAACACTTCATAGACATGTTTTTTATATTTGTTTATATATCTGAGACCTATGCTAGTGCCTACAACTATGATAGGTGACCTTTAACTTAACCCTCCTGTCATGTTCGTTTCTCCCCCCTTACTTTGGTGATTAAACATTATTCATCACCAAACTTTATTTAACACCCCTTTTAATCTTTAAACAATGTCTCAGAATACTGGTTTACATGAATTACTGCAGTGCATATACAAAGAAAAGACAATGAACATGTATTCCAAAATTAACATTTTGTTGATTTGTCCGTGTGTACTATCTGACGGATGAACATAATCTAGTAATCATAATCATTACCCATTCATTTCCTATGGCGTTTTTGACCAGGAACATTGTAGATGTTAAAAAGCTGACTAAACCTCAAAATTCAATGAAAGTGGTGATCAGCAATTTTATAAATTCAAATGCCTATTGAAAGGTAATTATAAGGCATCAAGCAATCAAAGGTAAAACACATATGTATCATTGATGAAGGTGGTAAATCTGTCAGATTTTCGGAAACACGACATGAGGGTTAAAAGAGGCAAGCAAAAGCAACGAGACAGTGTGGCTAGCTTGGATTACTTCTGTTAATTAATATATATATATATTGTGTATTTATTTCAAAATATGCCAGATGACTCTTTTGTCACATTAAAGCATTCTGAATGCTTGAGAAGTTCTATACAAATGAACTTGCCTTGCCCTGTTTCGCTTCCTCCTTCTTACATGGGTTTTGACCTATGGTTTTGACATTTTCTTCCTTATCAGAAGTGAGTCCATAAATGTTGCTAACCCTGCTGATTGTATCGCACTCTTATTCAGTTGGTCCGCCTTTAAAATTCACATTCAACATTACACTAACTCCAGGGCACATTAATTGATAGTTTATTCAACCATATCTGCAGTCCGTGTGTAACAGAAAAGTAGGCTATAAGTCAAATACAACTCTATACATTTAGGAACACAGGACGAGTAAACATTGTAGCTTTTGTCAGCCTGAACATTATCACTCTGATAGCCATAAACTGTTGCATGACTGATGTTATTTTATTGACTTTCTCTATAAATCTAGCAAAAATAACGCATTAACGTGTTTAAACTATGAAATCTTACCGTCCGTGAGGAGTTACCAGCCAGGAAGATTTCCCTTTCGGTTCTGTAAGTTTCGTTTATTGTTTGATTATTTGATGACGTCACTAGTGGGGCTTTCTCATGGCCGGTTAGCTCAGTTGGTTAGAGCGTCGTGCTAATAACGCGAAGGTCGCGGGTTCGATACCCGTACTGGCCAATGTATGTTTTCTCCTTCTCACACACAAAGTTAGTACAGTTGGACCAGAGTATCAAAACGTGGGGGAAAAAAGCGAATTAAAAGTGTAAATAACTGCAAATAAGTGTCTATCTAAACCAAACACGGAATAATGTAACCCTCCGGTATAACTGTGGACGTTTTTGTCCATATGGGTAATTTTTCACTTTTCATTTTGCAATAACTTTGGTTGTGTTGGTGCAAATGGCCTGATTTTTTGTAACAAGGCTATTTTCTCAATCTATTTTGGAATTCCAATTTAAATTTTTCAAATCGGTCTTTAATTCACTGTATAACAAATTGACTACGCAAATTAGTCATTCGAGACAAAAATGTCCACTGCAAAATACTTTGATAAAAACATTATATTAAAAGTTTTTTTTCACAAGTTTTTTGGGTTCAATCTTTAAAGCAACTTCCGCCCTAATAGAAAATACCAAAAATGTAATCATTTTCAGGATTTTAACCCTTTAAATGCAATTTTGAATACATGAAACCGATGTTTTTTTTCATGATGAAAACAGAGAAAATGAGTTATTTTCCAAAAAATACATATCTGGGGACTGGCTCTTTTTTTTTTACAACAGTCTTGGATATGTCAAAGATTAGCATCAACATTTATTTTTTTGCATTATTAGTTTTTGCACAAAATCAGATTGAACAAAAAAGTCACACATTAGTCATTCGGGAAAAAATGTCCACTTCCAAAAACTGCTCTAAAATGACAACAGATTAATATTTTTAAAAACTGTTTGGGGTTAAATCTTTCAATCAACTTCAGTCCTGATCAAAAATACCAAATGTTAACTTATGTTCAGGATTTTAACCCTTGAACTGCCAGTTTGAAAACATGAATTTGCGTTTTCTATGAAAAACATGCACAAAAAGGCAGTTAAAAGCATTACAAATAATTAACAAAATACATACGAAAATGCATTGCTAAATACAATAATATCTAAATGTATTGCTTAAGACAGTAATGTATAAATGCTGATATAAATAATTAAATAGATAAATATTGAAATAAATATTGAAATAAACATGTTTTTTTCCTTTGGCTATGCTCAGTCATTTTGTATATGTTTATCTTACTCTGATGATAATGACGATTTAACATAGATATAATGTTAAATCCGAAATGACTTTGAGAAGCTGAAGACCAAACTTGTCATTACTGGGTGGGTGTTTCTGCATGGTTGCTGCATGTTACATTAATGCTTAGACTTCTAAGCCACCAATATAGTTTTAAAGCATGATCGCCCAACTATATGTTGCTGTGAGGTTTTCTCAAGTGTATTTGTACCTTTACGCACACAATGTGCATTAAAGCGGCATGCATCTTTTACGCAATGCTGTTTGTAGCCTTGTATTCTGTGGATACGACAACATTAATAACTATTGTACATTTCTCTGACAAGTTTTAACAAGTGTACGTAGTGAGGTGTCTTGAACAATATCTTTGAATTGCTATAATACAATTTGGAATCTTTGTGTACACAGCAAGGAGAAACACAGTGACAGAGCACTTGAGCAGATCAACACATGCTAAATAAATATTTTGGAATTGGACAATACACATAGCTGGCCAAAAACTGAAGACGAGTGTTTCGAACCCTGCCATTGTTGTTAAATCCATCTCCAGTCTGTTTCCATCTTTAGTTGGAGGAAGACTGGAGAAAAACTAAATTATATCCGAGTGGATTCCAAGTTGTTATCTTTTTCCCACTTCTTATACATTCAACAGATTATGTTCTTTGAATGTAGAAGCCCAATTGTAAAGATTTTAATGTGATCTCTATAGGTGGCTTTAGCTCAAAGGGTGTGTCTATCAACATGAAGATCACTGGTTCAATTCAAACTCATATCTAATGGAACCAACGAGGCTATGGTGAATGTGCTATAAAAATACTGAAATTATTCCTGTATTTATTTAACTCCATATTTATTCATGTTTGTATTCATACATTTATTTATACTATTGTCATGTTCCATCCTCCATATGTGCTTAACAGTGCAATTTTGTTGTTGTTGATATGTTAACCATGTAACCCATCAGAAATAACCTGCACTGAATATTATGAATAATAAATGCATAGAACCAAGCAAGTGACACTACGAGATAATGTCTTATAACGGGTGATATAGAAGTTCCGTTATCAATTACCGGTGCGACATGTTTATCTGAAAGTTACCGAAGCAAAAGACGTGCGCCGCCCGGGAATCGAACCCGGGTCGCAAGAATGGGAATCTTGCATGATACCACTACACCAGCGGCGCAGATGCAATATAACAGAAGAGCTTTCTTTATAAAGGGCGCTATTCAAATTGGAGTCCAACAACGCTACTGCAACTTTTTACTGATGCTTTCCTTTGGTCGCACGACCATGACCATGACCAAACTCACAAAAATAATAATGGATATAAAAACACAAAATGTCCTGTACCTCCATGTGTGTTTCTTTCTCATAGCTGCAAACAGAAAAGCTTTGTTTATAATAATAATAAGTATAATTAATAATACGTTTCAAGTGTTATTTTTAATTGTATTGTCATAATTTTTGTAATGATAATTTGTACCAATTATTTGTTTTTTGTTTTATAATTGTATTATATTGAAACAATTTATTCAAATTTGGAAAATAGTATCATTTTTTAATTATTAAATAAATATATAAAAGTTGTATTGTTGTATTTTTTATTTGTTTAGTTGATTATCTTATTCGTTTTTTTTTTTATTCTTAGTTTTTTTAAAATTATTTTAATTCTTATTTTAATTTTTTATTTTATTTCCCACACAGACACAGCCATTAATAAATATATTAATGTTATTGAAAATAAATGTAAACATACATTAAATATATATAATGTGTGTTCTGTTTTATTCTCAACTTATATTTTTTTATTTATACATGTATTTATTTATCTTGTCTTGTGTTTATTTATTCCTCTATTTATTTCCACATTTATTTATGTATTCCTGTATTCATTTATATTTTCCTGTAGGCCTATTTATTTCCACATTTATTTATTTCACCCTCACTGGTACCTGCACATTTCAATGTTTTTATATATGAGTCAATATCACTATAAAGTAACTTTGGTGTCCCCATCAGAATCACTCAGTCATCATGAAAATGTAGCAGAATAATGAAACTCTGAGGTCTTATTATAAATGGCACAATGATAAGTCTCTTGAAATGTGTTTCGTTCATTTTATACCGTATTTTTTCATTGGATGTACGTGATTTTGGCATGTCCCACACACTGCTCTGCTAAAGTGTGTGTAATAAGTGGTTAAATGATACTACATTTTTTTTAAATGATATGGTTTTATTGTCCACAACGAGTTATTTGATAAAACGAGACATTTTGATCATGTATATTCTAATTTCATAATAATATTGAACATTTTGCATGTGTCCACATTGCTGTCCACCCTGTCATTATGGGGTAACTGTCCCTATAAAAAAAACATCTGATGTTTTCAGTGACATTACTACCACCATGTTGTCTTTCTTCAATGGAGGCTGAGACA